TTACAGTTACTTAAAAATTTTGTTTCACCCAAACTTCCCGTTCAACCTTTCTTCTACTTTAGATATGTTGATGACGTTCTCTTGTGTTTAGAAAATAATTCCATCTCCTCCACTCTTGATGCCTTTAATTCTTTTAACAATCATTTAAAGTTTACTTGTGAGTTTGAAGATGACAATTCCATTAGTTTTTTAGACATTAAACTTATTAGAAACCAAAACAATTATATTTTAACTGATTGGTTTCAGAAACCAACTTCTTCTGGTAGATACATTAATTACTTATCGTTTCATTCTCGTTCCGTAAAAATTTCTATCATCATTTCTCTCATTGGTAGAGCTATTCTTTTAAGCAATAAAACTTTTTGGAATAAAAACTTGGATTTAGTCCGCTCCATTCTCACAAATAACTCTTATCCTATACATTTAATCAATAATATAATTAAAAATAGGTTAGAATATTTAAACGTTTCCAATATTGATAATAATAATGTCACATCCGTTGTTCAAAAATATTTTACCGCTGATTCAAATTCTTCTTCTCTATTTAGCAAATATAAAGGCATTATTTGTTTACCTTATTTAGGGAGCTTTTCTTATTTTTTAAAAACTTTTTTCGGTTGAAGGTTTTCTTTTAGTTTTTACTTTTGATAACACACTCAGTACCCTGTTTTCTACTTTTAAATCAAAATCTCCGTCTGACAGAATCACCGATGCCGTTTATAAAATTAATTGTTTAGATTGTGACAGTTGTTACATCGGTGAAAGTTCTCAATACATTAGCAAAAGAATGAATCAACATATTTATAATTCAAAAAACCCTAGACAATTTAAAACAATGTTTTCTGAGCACATTATTAATTTCAAACACTCTTTTAATACTGACCATCCTATAATTTTATATAAAGAAAAAAATGTAGACCTTAGAAGATTTTCTGAATCATGTTTTATCTATTTAAATTCAAATTGTGTGAACAAACGCAGTTCTTCTTGCTTACTCTCAGAAAGTTGTCAAAATATAATTAATTTCTGTAAATCTGACTCTCTACTACGCCCCTGATATCCCCACTGTTCCTTGCTCGCGTTCTGGCGTTACATAGCGTACTACTCGTCGCCGACGCAAATAAGTCAAACCGTGTCGCTATGCTATCGGTTAAAAACAAAATATGTATTTCATACATTTTTACTTTTACCTTTTTTGGTCTTTTCTTAAATTATTTTTGCTTTCCTACAGTAGTAATATGTGATTGTGGTGTTGAAAAATGTGTTAATTAGTGTGGTTTTTCCTGATCTGGTGTGTATAATTGTTGTTTTCAATTAATTTTTCCAATATAAATTCATTTTTTAAAACTTTTTCTTTATAATGTAAATTTCTTTTAGCTGAATGATGAGACACATCTAGTCTCGAAACGTATAAAAATTAAAATAAATTCTTTACATTCGACGCATTGGCTGTTTTATTCATTTCAATATGTTTCAACGTCGAACAAAAAATCCTCAATATATATATATATATATATATATATATATATATATATATGTATGTATCATAACTCTAGACTTGTATAATAATATTAACTGTATATTAATTTTATATGTAATACATAAATTGAAAGCTTTTGGAAATCAATGTACCTAAATAATTTGAAAGCATTGAGTGCGTATAATTTTATTTGAAAAACATTGAGTGCATATAATTTTTAACAGGTAGATAATATTAAATTCAAACAAATAGTTACCAATCTATGAAGGAGACCTTCTCTATCAATAATAGTAAATACTACTCAAAATAAAACAGTTCCAGTATTGGTATACATTTTGAGAAACTTTTCTTCCTTGCATATACTGATACAATAGCTTCCTAAAATTATAGTTTATTTGCAATCAATAAAACAAAACATACCTGCAGGTGACGAAACAATACTTTCCTACTTTTAAGTAACTGATATTTGTTTGAATATGGTGGCGAATAACATAAATATTTTAATTATGACTACATACCTCACTGAATTTATCTAACAAAGCAATTTATTTCTTCGTTAATTTTCTATCGAAATTATAAAAAAATCATTTTCTTATTCAAACGCTTTCTTTACTTAATATATGCACATGATTGATGACACAGATATGACGCATTATTATTAGAAATAGATAAAACCTGCGATCATAAGAAGCAATAACCATCTTTAGGATCTTTAACAAGCACATAAGTTTGAATAAAACCTATCAAAATACGAAATAAAACCTGTCAAACGCCATATTGTTTGGGCCGCCAGTCGCACTTTTTGGCCACCATGAGAAGTCACGGCGTGTTCACTGACATTTTTATGGACTTGCCCGTTGTCTATTGATACAAGTTAAATGATCTTATAAACACCGAAAGGTCCAGATTGCATTGTCAAAAAACAAACTAAAAGAAAATACATTGGTTACTACCATAGATAAACAAGTATAAATTTTACTGCTAATTTATTAGAAAATTTGAGCCAGGTATCAAGCCAGATGTTAATGTCAACACCGTCGACATGAGAAAGAGCCTTTTTTGATATTTAACTCCTGAAAAACGCTTCAACTATTCACAATTGAACATATTTATGTTATCTTTTCAGATGAAAGTACTGCTGTAAATTATTGTGATACAGCAACAACTTCATGTCAATTACAAAATAATGAGGTTGTATTGAATAATCATCAACCATCACATGCTAACATGACAAAGTATTGATCTTTAACTAATACTATATACTTAAAGTATTGAGAATTGATCCGAATAATAAATACCAAACAAGAGATAGAAGTTACTAGAACTCTCTTCATGCGCTCAAAAGTTAACTTAAAATCCCAGGAAGAACAATTCAATAAGATCATAAATTTATATTGCAATCAAAAAAGAGGAACATATTCAAAAATGAAGAATAAAATTTATGCCTAAGATATTCTTGAAAATTAACTCTGTTTATATTCATCTTGGTGCTCAATCAAATAATGATTAAGTTACATTAAATCTATGTATAGTCTCTATCTGAAAACCTTTTATGCACGTTACGTTAATCTGCTTTAAAATGTTGAACGAAATATCATTATCATCATTATTACAAAGAAAAAGAAATCATTGTGTTCTCATAACAGTAACTGTCAAAAATTCAAGAAAGTTATATGCAAACACATTTGCCAATTTAATTAAAGGATAAAATCAAAATTACTTTCATTTGAAAAGCATATCAACAGCATACTAAAATGAATTACTATATGAGGATGTCACTTAAAAACTATTTTGCTGTTATCCTGTAAATTATTGTACAATTCATGATCTATATACTTCTCGACATCTGTTAAACGTATTATCACCAATAATAAACAGAAATAAACTGTATTTCTACAATTGCTAAAGCATTCAACTTCATTATTTATTACTATAAATTTATTAAAAAAAACACATTCATGAAACAATCACAAAAAAATGAACATTGCGTACAGTTCAAGTATCAACTATTCGATTTGAAATTTTTTGAAAAAGACAAGAGCATGATCAGCAAAAAAACTTTTCCTACCATTTGCCAGTTCCTGAAAACCAACAATATGATCCTTTTTACAGTCGTAAAATAATGCAGATGATAATGATATTTCATCAAACATCAGAATACAGTTTTTGCTATTCACATATTTTTTCTGTGCCATAGCTGAACCCAATGTTTGGAAAAGGGTCTCATTAATACCACTATACAAAGGAATTGCTGAGAGCAACTTTCTCAAGTTTGAGGAGCAGGCAAAACAAATATTTTTCTCCAACAATAATAACCTCTTGGATAAATTTTATGCAGAGATAAAGCAAGAATTTTATCATTAAGTGTATATTTTCTTCCTTTTGGCTTCTTTGTATGTTATCTTAGTTGACTTAATATAAAATTACTAGCCCTCTTATTTAATGTTGCTGGGAGATAAGCAAAATTTTCAGCACATTTGAGACTTTCTTGTAACTTCTGCCTCAATATATTTTTTGTATATTTATCCTTCTGACTTCTTTACTCAACACATTTGTTATATGGTATAAATTTTGTTTTTTTCATATCAGGTCTCTGCACGGCTTATATCTTGAGTTAAGAACCTCTGCTGAAAAAAAAATATCTAGAATCATTTGCTACGAACATAATTTGCAGTATGAAAAACTTTAAATAACACACCTTTCAGGGACGGTTTTCCTTTGCCAGAATAATACAAAAAAGTGTTATAAAACGAATAATTTTTCAATAACATACCTTCCAGAAAGAGATTTAGTATGACGGATGTCTTGTATTAAAATTACTAGCATAGATACTGTTAAATGTTTCAGTTATTAAGCTATAATAAAAAATTATATCAGAAGCGCTAATAATAGATGCGAGTATTTTGTTGTGTGCATATTAATGAAACTTATTTATCCAGTTCTCATCACCAGTTCTCAACCCGGGCTCCAGCTAATTCACTAATCATTTTACATTTTACGTCATTTTCAGCAGGAAATACGTGCATTTTTGCATATTTGTTGGTGTTTCTGCATTGTTGTACACCGCACTTTGACGTGATATTTGTTATAAACTTTTAACAAATTTTAATAAATTTAATGTTATACCGCCATATTAGATTCTAGAAGCCTGTTTTGTAGCGCTACCAGCGCTCCTATCGAGGGAGACGGAACTAAACACAAGATTACAGATGTTTGTTCGGAGATTACCGGCCATGATTCTAATATTGTCTGTGTCTAGGCTTTTATCTTTGTTCAACGCGTTGCTGTCATGCTGTCATCGCGACTAACTTCATTAGGTCAGAATCAGAACACAGAATGACATTAGTCTGGTCTTTGCTATTGACTTCAGTTTGATTACTTTTGTCAATTTGACATTTTTAGAATGTTACTATTAGTAAATGAAATATCGTCAACATATTATTAGGCATATTGTGATTGAAATTAATTTAGTCGTAGATTTAGTAGTAAATTTAGTTAATTAGTCGCTTTAATATTTCAATAATAATATAATAAAATGGTTAAATTATATTCGGCCAGTATTCTTTACAAAGGCTCCACAAGTGTCTCCCTACTTAAATCAGTATATGAATTACAGAGCTTCAGTTTTTTTCAAAGAGGATCTGTTCAAGAGTTTCTAGGGTTTGTCAGTCAAACTATTGTGGAACGTACACAAGCAGCGGCTAGGCAGTCAGTGAAAGAAAATGGCACGTAATTGTGAATATTGTATTATAGTCTATAAATATATATATATATATATATATATATATATATATATATATATATATATATATATATGATGAATAATATATATACACCTATCACCCGCTTTACACGAAAAATTCACATTTTTATAGTAAAACCTTGCTAAACGAAAATCACTATAGAAACCTCTTTTTGTCAGTTTTTAATATAATAAATAACAAACACATTGAACGATAAATAAATATTAATATAATTGATATCAAACCATTTAATAATTTATAAAAATATTAATTTATTCCAATGATGAAAGTAATATAAATAAAATCTATTTTGAATATTTTCTTTATAAATAGAAATTAAAATTCCCGCTGATTACGATAAATAAGACTTAACATTCTATTTTCATTCAAATTTAATCACTGTCACTTGAAACAAACTAGCTTATATACTCTCAACATTTAATTTTGATCATAAAACGGGGAGTTTCCAACTGATCTACTTATTATACTACTAAAATGAATAGACTAAAGTAAATACAAAATTAATATACTTCATTAAAAAAAATTCTATTCTCATTAATATACTTTGTTAAAAAAATTCTATTCTCAAAAACCGTGTAAAATGTATAAAACAAGTACCTACCATATAAAATGGGGTTAGGTGTATATATATATATATATATATATATATATATATACATATAATATATATATATACAGTGGACCCCCGGTAGTCCGACAATCATTTTGCAGGGCAGTGTCAAACTATCGAATTTGTCGGATTGTAGAGAACTTCCTAAGACCCCTTATAGTCCAATTTTTTTACAAAATAGTACCTTGTAATCCGACAAATTGTAGATCCAATGATGATTCTTTATAATAAATACATATAATGTACTCTGAAGTACAAATCATACTTTATTATGTATATATGTCAAATTTAGTAAATTCACAATAGAGAGCTTACTATATAAAGTTTTATTATAAAATTAACGTCATTAATGCTATAAAACTCACAAGAAATATGCAATAACTTTACGTTAGGAAATAATTTTGTACAAACAAATGTACATACATACATACATACTAAAATAATCAAAAACTATGAATCAACTACATATGTATGCAATTTAAGAAGCATGCCAATATTCATCAATGTCGGATTACAAGGGGTGCCTGACTAGACAGGGGCCGGATTACTGGGGGTCCACTGTATAGTATATAGTAAACTATATATATATATATATATATATATATATATATATATATATATATATATAGTTTGCAGCCAATTCGTTGTATCAAAAAAGATAAATTGATTCAATTCTTTATTTATCTTATTAATTCTTCAATATGTATACATACTGATGATTCTTGACGTATGTCATCATGAAATACTGTTGTTTTAATTCAAATAATTGGGTGCAAATATATCAAATATGTTTGAAACTCGAAAAACAATCATCATGTACATATACATATATATAACATATACATATATATATATATATATATATATATATATATATATATATATTGTGATATGAGTGAAACGAATAAAAAATGTTAAATATAAACAACACAACACTCAGATTTTTACATACACTTTATTTAATAATTACAGACGTTTCGAGAACATGGTATGGTATCATGGTAATCATGGTATTTGATAATCCCCAAATTTTATTCCATGAAAAAGTTATTAGTTCAGACTAACAATAGCGTAAATCTGAGAATTGACCATAACTGACACAAATAATTCACACAACACTTATTTAAACGTCATATATATCAATAATTTATAATATTTTTGTTTACCATTTGTTTAAAAAATGTTTTCAAATATTCACATGTTTAGTACTGTGTTAAGCATTGTATGGACAATTGGTGTTTTTTGTTTGTTAAAAACTAAATATAATTTGAATAAAAAATTAAATAATGTATTAGTAAATAATTTTTACTGCTTTGAAATTACCCTGAAGATGAGGCATACCATGGTCTCGAAAGGTCTATAATTATTAAATAAAGTGTGTGTAAAAATCTGAGTTGTGTTGTTCATATTTAACATTTAATATTTATTAACTTCCCAAAGGAGAAGCAGAAAAGCAGAAAAGTGAAAAATTTTTCGTCCACGTGTTAGCCCGTAATTTTGAATCGATTATGAAAATTCAAAAACCGTTCGAAAGATAATGATTGGGAATCGTACTGATTAGTTTTTAGTTTGCAAAAATTGGTATCGTTTTTTTGGCATTTGTCAAAATTAGACCTTTCATCGACGTTTTCTCAAAAACGCCTGAACCGATTTCAGAAATTTAAAAGCCATTTGATGTATCTCGATGAGGACTAGGGAATGCAATATCGGTTTACCGGTATACCGAATTACCGGTAAACCGCCTAATTTTTCGGCGGTATTTATACCGGTAATTAACTTAAAAATACCGGTATTTTCGATATTTTTACATGGCGCTTGTGGATACATGTTACATATGTACATGTTTGAAATCCGATAATCGCTGACAAGAAATATCACTTCACGCTGTTGTGTTATATAAACATGTGTCAAAATATTATCTCGACTCGTCATTAAACTGAATATTTATTGCTTTTCAAAGGGCTTCATATCGTATTTCAATAAATAGAACGGACTAATCAATAATGATGTTATTTTATCTTATATAAAAATGCAACGGATTTTTAAAGTGACATGGGCTTACTAGTGGGTGATACATACTAATCATAATTATCGAAAGTATTTTTATTAAAAAAAACAGATTGTAATATAATCCTAAATATTAAAAAAAAAAAATTAAATATTTTTCACCTACAAAGTGTAGCATTTTGAGGATAGTATAGGATCACTATATTGTTTTAAATAAAGTTTCGTATATTAATTATCGTATTTTCGTATAGTAAGTATCGAAATAACTTCTTGTGTAAAATATTGATTTTGATAAAAAGTACTCAATAGTCAATATTGAGTAGTATTATTACTTTTGTTACAGTTATTTTATCAACGATTATTTTTTCAGCACTCGATATCGATAATTGGTATCGACTCTTCTAGCACTAGTTATATAGAAACCCGGAGAAACACTATTTTTTTAGTGTATTTACTTATAAATTTATTCGGGGAATTGCTATTTTCTTTAGGCATTAATTCGGGGAATTATTTTTTCTTTGTGGAAGTTACTGGAGTGACAATTGAAATATGTATCGTCTAATACAACTCCACAGGCCATTTGTTCATTGCAAAGTGTTTTGTCAATACGTAGATACAAATTTAGGTCGAAAGTTGTTTAGTTATATTAATTTAGTGAAATAATTGTTTTAGAATAGAAATTAGTAGTTCAGTGCAAAGTTATTTTTCAACACGTAGATACAATTTTGGAGTGAAGTTTGATAAATTTGTGCTTGTGCAAAATTATAAATTGACTAAAATAATTATTTGAGAATATTTTTTTTTTAATTCAGTGCGGAGTGTTTTTCCAATAAGTAAAGTTTTAATTAATTTTTTGGAAAGTTTGTTTACTTCGTGCTTGTGGAAAATTACAAATTTAGATCGAAAGTTGTTTAGTTATATTAATTTAGGGAAATAATTGTTTTAGAATAGAAATTAGTAGTTCAGTGCAAAGTTATTTTTCAACACGTAGATACAATTTTGGAGTGAAGTTTGATAAATTTGTGCTTGTGCAAAATTATAAATTGACTGAAAAAATTATTTGAGAATATTTTTTTTTATTTCAGTGCGGAGTGTTTTTCCAATAAGTAAAGTTTTAAGTAATTTTAGGAAAGTTTGTTTACTTCGTGCTTGTGGAAAATTATTAATTTTAAAACAATTGTTTTTGAATCAAAAGTATGAATTTAGAAACCAATATATTTCAAGAACATAAGAAAGGGAACGAGGTGAATTCTGTGTAGCATTATTATTTAGTTACCAAACAAGGACAAGTAGCAAAATGTAAAAAATGTACAAAAGAAATTAAATGTCAGGGAGGATCCACAAGTGGTCTTCACGCGCACTTGAAACGACATAGCATAATTTTAAAAACTAAAAGGGAGGAAATAGCAGATAATGAAAGTGATGCGGGTTGTTCTAGTCCAAAGCTACCGAAAACATTAAATTATTATTTTCAAAATCAGAAGAGGAAACAGCTATGTGAAATTTTGGCTCGTATGGTTGCGCGTGATGGACTACCATATAGAATTTTTTGCACATCGGAGGATATAAGAAAAGGGTTACAAGCAAGGGGATATACTGACTTACCTAAATCAGCTCCAAAATAAAAAATATGGTCACTGAATACAGCAAGAAAATAAAAACAGAAGTCATTAAAGAAATTACTGGTCTAAAATCGAGTGGTAAACGGTTTAGCTTAACATTCGATGAATGGACTTCGGTTCGAAATCGAAGGTATTTGAATATAAATGTACATTCTACTGGAGGACTAATATGGAACATTGGACTAGCCCGCTTACATGGAAAAGTGCCAACTGAAAAGTGTTTAGAGATTTTAAAAACAAAGTTACAAGAATTTAATCTCAATGATATTGTGTGTATATCGACAGATGGTGCGGCAGTTATGGTAAAACTCGGTCATTTGAGTGTGGGGATCAAGCAGGCTAGTCATGATTGTAAAAAAACAATTAGACTTGTCATTTATATTTTTAATATCAGTAATATTTTATAATGATTAAAATTTATATATTTTTATACGATGGGAGTTTATTCTATCATATCCAGTACTACACCCATATATATATATATATATATATATATATATATATATATATATATACAGTACAGGCCAAAAGTTTCCGGACACATGAAAAAAATCTCATTTTCTGAGTTTTTAGCTATATTTTTCATATAAAAATAATTTTATTCAAGTTGGTTTTGTACATTCTACGTAGTATTAATGTTTAGTGACTGATTTGTAACCAATTTGTGAGAAATGATAGACTAATTAGCAATGAAAATGTTAAAATGCCACTGCAGTCGATTTTCCTGAATATGACCACCCTTTGATATTTTGATATGAAATAATGGAGTGGCCTGTTGTAGGACGAGCTTAAACGCCACGTGAAGGATTTGCATCCAACCAGCCTCCCTGCCCTGTGGAATTGCTTTAACGAGTCCTGGAAGAACATACCTGCGCAAACATTGCAAAAACTCGTCGAAAGATTACCAAAAATATGCGCTGCAGTGATCAAAGCAATGGGTGGTCATATTCAGGAAAAACGACTGCAGTGACATTTTAACATTTTCATTGCTAATTAGTTTATCATTTCTCAAAAATTGGTTACAAATCAGTCACTAAATATTCATACTACGTAGAATGTACAAAACTAACTTGAATAAAATTATTTTTATATGAAAAATATAGCTAAAAACTCAGAAAATGAGATTTTTTTCATGTGTCCGGAAACTTTTGGCCTGTACTGTATATATATATATATATATATATATATATATATACGTGTATATCATAATTAAATGTTTAAAACCATATGCCCTCCATGATACATTTACAAAATCTAAAAGTCGCGTGACTATTTAATTGTAACTATGTAATATGTTTATATTACAAACTTTAATTTATTATTTTTATTTATTCATTGATATAACTATAAATTACACGAAAATTTTGATCAATAGTCTTGGCTCAGTTTTAAATGCCAATTTACAGGATTGTCATCTTTTAACTATTGAATATTTGCTTGTAAATAATAAGACCCTTGCCTTAAATTACTATGACATGCTATAATAATATTTTTGATCTATTTTTTTAATTTAGAATATACATGCCATGTATATGTAAGAGGTGATGGTTTAGCAGGTGTTGTTGTATCAGATCATGAGTATCCGAGTCGCGTGGCACATACAATGATCACTAAAATACTTGATGAGTTTGCGGGAAAAATTTCTCCGGAATCGTGGCAAAAAGGTTTGAGCAAAAAATTAGCTTACTTTTAATTTTTAACTTATTTTAAAACAAATATTTTATTGATAGAAAATTTTAATATACTTAAATATATATTGCTTCTTCTGTAAGGTCCTGAGGCTTGTTCCATATATCCCGTTAATGTTCTGGCAGCACATCTAACACATTGGCAGAATCCAAAGGAGGCAGATGCTATGACTAGAATTCAGGAAGATTTGGATGAAACCAAAATAATACTTGTAAGTTTTCTATGGTTGACTTCTAACTATATATTTGTATATATATATATATATATATATATATATATATATATATATATATATATGATAAAGTTGTTCTTGGGGATTCATCCAATAATTAAAACGATTTTATTGTAGAAAAATGTTTTTATTGTAATATCATATGTTTTGGGTCAAAATTTAACCCATCTTCATTGCATACAAATAAATTAAAGAGAAAAACACAAAATACACAAAAAGATATGAACACCAATTAATATAACATCAAGTTATATGACAATTTTTAATAAATAATAAATTAAACAAAATAAAAACTAGTTGGTATTGCTATTTTGCCTTGAGGCAAGTTACATGAACTTCCCGATATGTGTAAATAATCGACTTAATCAATAAAAAATAAATTAATTAACGAGTGATTAGAAGTATTCCGAGTGGATTTATTACACATAATTAAAAACGAACGAACACGTTAACTCGGAGTATTTTCTAAAAGCAAATTTTCACAAATCAATATTATAATCGAACCAGTTTTCGTAGGACGTTAATGGTGTAGTATGTTAATTAAAACCAAGTAATATCGTTGTACCAGTATATCATCTAATTTTAATTTTAACAAACGTCAACAAAACTACTCATTTTCTCAAACTTTGAATTTTTAAAATTAAACTACTTGTCGTAAGGCCATAATATTTTAGTAAGTTATGTGGATATCTTCCACATATATTTCCACTTGAATAAATCAAATATTATTATATAATATTAGATAAATTTACATTGAAATTATAATTTATTATTTTCATCTTCTGGCTGGCTACTCTCCGTGGTCCCAGGTCAGTAGTTGTTGATTCCTTGAATGGTTGAGATGAAAGAGAATTAGTCTGTGTTGCGCTATGCGTTAAATACCCTCAGCAACAAGGAGTGGGGATGCCTAAAGGGTATATTGTGGTGCCATCTGGTGCAACGGAGGCATGTCCCACAAGCGGTGACACAATTGAAGTTGAGGTATAAACTTGTGATGCCATCAGTTGTCAAACCTCTTATATAGATTGTTCCCACATGAGCCCCCCGCGGAGACTGGAGGTCATGGTATTCGAAAATGAACTTTTCGGCCTGATCGAGTGAAATAGTTGTTCTTTGCTTTGGTGATGATTGGTTGGTCTACTGGATCTGCGATGATGTAGGCTGGTTTGATGCGATCGATGGACACCCGTGTACTGCCTTTCTGAGTTCGTTTGGTTACTGTTTTATCATCTCTCTTGAAAACTATGTATGGACTTTGATATGGTTGTTGGAGTGACTTCCTGATAGTATCGTCGCGGAGAAAAATATGCATGCATGTTTGTAGGTCCTGAAAAATAAATGGTTTGTTGTTTGTGTGATTTCTAGATTTACTTGGTTGAAGATGCGCTACGTGTTATCGAAGTCTCGAGAGTAAATCAGCCGGATGTCTTAAATTTTGAGAATTTTTATGTAATTCAAAAAAAGGAAGGCGGAGTGGTTCACCATACACCATTTCAGCTGCTGATGTCTTTATATCAGGTTTGTAAGCGTTTCGAATGCCTAATAGAATTAGCGGAAGTGCTTCCAACTAGGGAATGCAATACCGATGGAAAATTTCAATACCGGTATTTCGGTAATTTTTCATTTTAAAAACGGAATACCGGTAAATTACCGGTATTTTTATTATCTTAAACAAACGTAAACAAAATTGAAAGTTACTAGTATAAATATAAAAAAATGTATATACAACTACAACTATATTCAACTAAACAATAAAAACATTAAAATAAAACAATAAGTTTATTTTTTTGAATAATCATTTAACAAAATTATATCTAATTTAATTAATTCGTTATTACTATCGAGTGTATTGAGAACTTTTCACCAAAAACAAACTTATGAGTAAGAAAGACTAAAAACTCATAAAAGATCATATTACATTATTATAATAAACTGTATTGTCTCTATCCGATGTGCTAAATTAGCATAATTTCCAATATTTTAAAAAAATAATTTTTCTACATTAATTTAAGATCGGATACTTTGTCGAGATAAATAATAAGCTACTATAATTGTTGAGTATTGTTATTTAAAACAATGTGATGCTTCTATAGTATTTTCAAACTTCGAAACGTTTTCGAAAAATATTTTATAATTGTAATAAGAAGCAAAAATATTTAGTAATTATATATCTTATATATAAAAATGGAGCTCTCTTTCAAATGTCCAAGTAAAACTCGAAAACGGCTAAACCGATTTGACCAGTCTTAGCCTTGAAAAATTCATGCCAATCCAGAGATGGTCGGAAAGGTGAGATATTATTTCAAAATCGCGTAGAAACTTTACATTTTTAATTTGAAAATTTTTGTTGAAGAGTAATGTAAATAAAACAACGGACGGTAGCTAATACTTGAAATGTCAAACGTTTTTGACGGATGATGTTCAATTACATTTAATAGGATGTTTTACGTCAATATTATTTAATTATGATTAAATTGTGGTAAGTAGTTTTGTTTGAAGTTTTATTTATATACAAAAACGTTATTGAACGGGCCGCAAGTTTTACTAGAAACTAAATATCAACTTTTTTGAAATGTTAACATGAAAATGCATTTTTGGCATATTTTTTTCAAACACGGTGCTCTGATAGATCTCATTTGTATAATTATGTACTCATTGGTCTTTATAAAACATTTTCTAGGTTATATTATTTTTTATTTATGTTATTTAAATTCAAAACCTAAATTTGGTATCGATCAAAGTAACATTTTGCCGAATAACATTTTCCCAGTTATAATTTCGAAGAATAGATATATACCGAAAATACCGGTATTTTTGGGGTAAATTCCGATAAAAATACCGCCGAAAAATAGTGCGGTTTACCGGTAATTCGGTATACCGGTATTGAATTCCCTACTTCCAACCATGTGTTGTTTTTGTAACACATTATCGCAGCCTTGAGTTGTCGATGGAAGCGTCTGTTCTGTAATAATAACTCTATTAGTCTGTTGGAACATGGATGATAGCTGCAAGTCCTGATTCTAATGGTGCCTGTCAATTTATTTAATGATCTAAATAATTCAGATTCAAATTGAGTACCTCGATCCGTCGTTATTTTGACTGGTGCTCCGAAGCGGGATATCTAGCATGATAAAAATCCAACCGCTACTTCTTCTGCAGATATTCCTTGTAGTGGGTATACTTTTGGCCATTTGGTAAATCGATCAATGGCTGTCAAACCATATTTATAGTAGTTAACAGGAGGTAAAGGACCAATTATATCGATGTGTACATGTGCAAATCTTGCTGTTGGCAAGGGAAATGTACCGTGAGGTGCATGTACATGCCGTGTTATTTTGGACTTTTGACAATCTTGACAAACTCTAGCCCAATCGTGGCAGTTTTTCTGTATAGATGGCCATACGTACCGTGCAGTAATTAGACGCGAAGTTGCTGGTATTCCACGGTGACTCAAACCATGTAATGAGTTAAATATTTGTCTCCGCAGTGGTACCGGGATATAAGGTCGTGGCTGAGCCTTTGCCGTGTCGCAAAACAACTTTATGTTTGTGCCTGGTACTGGAATTTCTTCTAATTGTAGTTTAGTGTCTTGAAACAAAAGGCGTTTAAGTTCTGCATCATCTTTCTGGTGCTGTGCTAAGATTTTGAAATTAAGTAAATTATCTTTTGTAATGGCTTCGACTCGTGACAGTGTATCAGCTATGATATTTTCCTGGCCCCTGATGTATTTTATGTCTGTTGTAAACTGTGAAATAAAATTTAGATGGTTTAATTGAACTGGCGGAAGTTTTTCATAGCATTGGTAGAATGCAAAAGTTAATGGTTTGTGATCAGTGTATATTGTGCATTAAGAATGAAGCATTGATGTGCTTCAAGGATGTGCCTGTAGTGCTGTACAGCAAGATATACCGCTAGTAATTCTCTGTAATAAGCTGGCCATGTCGATTGACGTGGAGTCAACTTTTTAGAGAAGTATGCTAGGGGTTGCCATTTGTTTTCAACCAATTGTTGCAAACAGGCGCCTGCTGCCTGCTGGGAAGCATCTGTAAATAATCCTAATTTAGTACCATGAATTGGATGTTGGAGTAGCGTTGCTTACGCAAGTTTGTCTTTACAGGATTGAAATGCTTTTTCCAGTTCTGGAGTCCGGGAGATAGATTTATTGTCTTTGATAGATGATATTGCATCGTGAAGTATTGCTTGGTTTGAAGCAGCGTTTGGTAAAAAACGGCAATAATAATTGAGCATACCTAAAAATTGTCTAAGGGACTTTACGGTTTCTGGACGAGGAAAATTCTTCAGATTTTCGATACGTTCAGATGGTGGCTTGGTCCCTGTTGCGGAAATTTCGTATCTCAAAAACTAAATTAGCGGGACACAAAAGGTACTTTTTGTCTGATTTATTATAATTCCATGGTGGTGAAGGCGTTTAAATATTGCTCGTAAATGCACTCGATGCTCTTGTTCATTTCTGGAAAAAACTAAAATATCATCTATGTAAACAAAACAAAAATTTAATCCTATCAACACTTCGTCTATGAAGCGCTGAAAGGTCTGTCCAGCGTTTCTGAGACCGAAAGACATGAATGGAAACTCAAACAGGCCAAAAGGCGTTGATATTGCTGTCTTTGGTACGTCCTTTTCTTCTACCGGTATTTGCATGTATGTCGTCACTAAATCTATAACAGAAAATGTATTACATCCCTGGAGATTTGTTGAGAAATCGTGAATGTGACGGACTGGATATCTATCTGGCACCGTCCTCGCATTAAGTGCGCGATAGTCCGGTGGTATTTTTACTGCAACTCTGTTAATTGTGTCGTTTGTGGATACATGATTTGAGGCAGGTTCAGATGTGGAACCCTTCGGTGTCTTGGAAGGCGTTTTATCAGAGTTCATACCTGATTTTTTCATCTTCAGATCAGAATATCACGTCGGGATCAACAATTATGTGAGTATCTTTCACATATATTTCCACTTGAATAACTCAAATAATAAATATAATATTATTTATTATATTAGATAAATTTACAATGAAATTATAATTTATTATTTTCTTATTCTGGCTGGCTACTGTCCGTGGTCCCAGGTCAGTAGTTGTTGACTCCTTGAATGGTTGAGGTGAAAGAGAATTAGTCTGTGTTGCGCTATGCGTTAAATACTCTCAGCAACAAGGAGTGGGGATGTCTAAAGGGTATATCATGGTGTCATCTGGTGCAACGTAGGCGGGTCCCACAAGCGGTGACACAATTGAAGTTGAGGCATAAACTTGTGATGCCATCAGTTGTCAAACCTCTTATATAGATGGTTCCCACATTTCTATAAGACCATGATATATATCGCTAAAAAAAGTTTCATAAAAATCAGCTTAAATTTTTTTTTCATCAGCTAATTACAAGAAAACGGCTCGGTAGATTTTCATCTATAACTAATCAGTATCATTCCCAACTAATATCTTTCGAACAGTTTTTGATTTTTTAAAATCGATTTGGTAGTATGAGCTAAAATGTGGACGAAAAGTTCAACACTTTTTTCAAATTACAAAGAAATGGTTTGGCAGATCGTCGCACAAAACTGACAAACGATAGTCATTGAGATACATCAAATGGCTTTTAAATTTCTGAAATCGGTTTAGGCGTTTTTGAGAAAACATCGATGAAAGGTCTAATTTTGACAAATGCCAAAAAACGATACCTATTTTTGCAAACGAAAAACTAAACTTCTCCTTTGGGAACTTTGTTAATAAAATAATTTTTTTTAAAAAAAGATCTCACGCAGACATGTTATTTGTTTGGAGTTTGTTTTGCAAGTAAATGACTCAGTCATTCATTGTTAAACATGTAGCGAGACTCCAAACTATTTGTTTTAATTTTTAAATACTTTATTTTATTGTTTTGTGCTTTTTAAAATAATGTTAGTTTAATATTTTGCGTATGTTTTTTCATTTTTTACTTATTTAATTTATTTTAATCTATAATATATTTACA